TCAAAAGAGGTTAATTAGATATTAAAGACTCTACAGTCCCTTACATTTAGTGAGTGATATTAACTTTTCTGCTCATGGTTTGTCAGTAGCCATGTGTCACTTATCATTATTTGTGTGAATGAGTTGAGGCTCCTGTCCATCATTATTTATTCTCATCCTATGCTTAACAAAATTGGTATAATGAAAAATCAAATTAAAAAGCACTGAAGAATTTTTAGCAAAGCATCAAACAATAAAAACAAATATTGTCCTGGCAACTCCCTTTGCTCTAAGGTGAATCAGATCAGCTGTTGCTGCGCTTTGACTGACACAGATTTAAACAACTCAATGTTATTCTAAGTCTCCTGTTGCTGAAAACACATTTTTAACTTGAATATAAAAAGTAATTGACTTCACCAATGCATTCAGAAAGGAGGAGAGGGACTACAGGGGCCTAAGTAACCCTGCAGTAAAAGCATAGAGTGGCCAACCCTGTCCTGTCTCTTTGAAGGTTGTGTTTGAAAAGAAGGGTTAATGAGTAGTGTGGTTGGCAAGCTGGCTGCCTCCCAAGCTCTCTGGAGGCAAGCAGGGCCTTCCAGGTGATGCACGAGGTTCTTGGATATGTGGATGTGCTCAGTGCTTACTTGTGAGGCTGCAAACACACTGTAACGCAGCACTCTGGTCTTCAAGGGTAAATGAAGTGAGAAAAGACAATGGGTAAAGCCTTTTCAATGCCACAGCATTGTCTTAGGCAAAGAGACTTTGGCTTTTATCTACTTCTTTTTATTTTTAAATTTTGGTTTGTTTGTTTTTATTTTTTATGAGTGGATATGCTTCACTTGAGTGATAAACAGTATCAGAAAATACTCCTGCAAGGGGTTTTGCAGGACACCAACCTGCTTCAGCTGCTGTTGTGTGCCAGATACAGAATTACTGTATGCATTGCATTTTCTAGAAATCCCTTACATGCTGCCCCCAACCAGAGCAAAGAAACATGGGCTTACTTGTGTTATCTTTGTTAAGATTTATCTATCATGACATTGCTCTTACTTCATCCTTTGAACAAGGAGTTGACTTTAGAAAAGGGAGACATTCTCATTGCTCTATGCATGTGGAAATACAGATTTTGAAAGCTGCTCTTTGAAAAACTTGGAGTACCCAACTCAAAGCCGGCTGTATTTTTAGTATTTTTTTTTTTCTTATATTGTGAAATTGATGGTTTGCCCTCTCTGCTCCAGAATGCCACAGTATGGATATGTTTAGCCCTTTATCTGAGTTTCTGAATTTCATGTGGGGCATGATGCCACATGCTTTCTCTTAAACTACTTGATTGTTTTTGCCCTGTTCTCCCCTTCTGGATGTCTCGTCTGCTTTTTATGTCTGCTGAATACTTTGTCACTTGGTTTCTGGCTAATCACATCTGATGAAGGGCTTTGTCTCTCGTGTGCCAGAAGATTTGGCTCAGACTTCCAAAGCAATTGCACAGGTTATTTGAAGGGTTTATTTTCTTTCCATCAGAGATAATCTTTATCACATTAGATTTTACCAACTTCGTCGTTTACAACAAGCAGCATAAAATTAAACCAATACAAACTTTTAAAAAACTGGTTTAGATGTTGTTTTTAAATGTGTTAGAACCTTGTGTTGATTCAGGAGCTATTTGTTTATAAATAATCTCAAGGTAAATATTCATAGAATATCTAAGTTTTTTTTGAGCTGAATATATGATTTAAAGCTTACTATAAAAAGCTTTGGAGTTATTACATTATACTAATACTGTAAAGCTGAAAATCTAATGCCAGGGAACAGACGAGTGGAATAAATGCACTCTGTGAATTCTACAGACACCTACTACTCTCTCTTTAGCAAACATGGTGATAAAGCTGATCTTAATTGCAACCAAACCATCTATAAGAACTGGACGTTAAAGCGATACAAATTCCATTTAGGAATGTGGTGTCCTGAAGGGAATATCAGTGACGAATCACTCAGTAGCCACCTGCATCTTTCACTGTTTGTCCCAGCACTGGCTGCTGGCACATAGGAGGTGTGATACAAACCTAAATGGATCTTCTGATCCAACCTGAGGTAGCTGCTTTTATGACTGGATTAAAGTATGACTTTTTAAAAGCTGATGACTACTGATGAGGCAAAAATACTCAGGATATGGTGGGTTTATTCCCAGAGCTGTGCATTCACTTTTATAATGAAATTGGAAACCAGGTCAGTTTTATGCTTCCTCTTTTTTTTGCTTATGTGGAAGCAGGTGTTTTTCACGCATCTGCTTTATTCAATGCTAAGTTCTATATGGATCAAATCTTAAGTAACTTAGCAGCAGATTAATATTGTACTGGCTGTGTCTACAGAGCGTGTTGTGCATCACTCAGGTCCCGCGCTCCTGAGGCTCTGAAGCCCGTGGCCAGTTCTGTGGGCTGAGCTGGTACAGCTTTGCAAGGCTTGGGCTCAGTCTGCCACTGCGGCCACTGGAACCGGGCACCACTTGTCAGGGCAAGGACAAAAGCTGCTTACTTGTGCCTGCTATGTGTTGTGTAGATTCACCTACAGGCAGCCAGGAAAAGCCTTTATCTGTAAATAAACATAACAAACAAATCTGGACTTTGTTTGCTAAACTCCTTTTGTACAGCAGAAAACGGTTTATTTATTACCTTTTTCACCATAGTATTTGTCACCATTGGTTAATAAAATATCATCTGTTAAATCTTTTGTAAAAAGATTGAAGTTTTTTCTTTCCAGAGAAAGTATTTTTCCCATTTTTGGCCTCATAGTATTTAGTGGTTTTTCCTGCCTAGGTGCTGCAATTTCTTTTAAAAAGTCAGGCTGTACGTAATTCTGTTCCCATGCAATATTGAGCACAGTGGAATTTTAGAGTTTGAAATTGCATCTAGAGGGATCTAGACTTCTTTCTCTCCTTCTCTCTGTCCCACCTGTCAACATGATATTCTGATCCCTATTACACCTTTGCCTGGGATCATGTGGACTGCAAGTAGCAATTTGACTGATGGTTTTTAAGCTGTATTACAGCTGCCAAATTCTGGAAAAATGGATAATGTCCTAGACCAGTGAAAGATGACAGCATTTGAAGTATTTTGTCCATTTTCAAGTTCTAGACTGGTCAGAGACAATGAAATAAAAGTTACAGGTTTTTATTTGGTATGGATATTAGATGTTTGTGAGAGATTCATCCATAAAGCACTGATTTTAATGCAGAACAGATTCATGAGCCTGCAGCATAGTTGATATGGGCAATTCTGTGATTCTATAAATTTGTTCAGTGGCAAAGGATTATGAACTTGGGGTGCTGCAGCATTCACATAATACAGTAGGAGCTATTTCTGTTCTTCCTTTTCTTCAAAAAGAAAATGCAATCTCTACAGCAGCACATACCTGCATCCTGCAAAGCAAAGAGCCAGAACACAGAAGAGAATTTTTATCTGAAAAAGTATTTTTACTACTTTAACTGCCTTTCTTTGATTAAAGAGGTTTGGCTGTCACTGGACTTGCACACACTCATCCCAGTTCAGTTGACAGGGAGTCCTGTTCTCCACCCTGTCAACACTCACATTTCTGCAGGGTGAAGATAAAGTGTGGGAAAAAAAAAGTTTTGGGCCTTCTCTTTCCTTTTTTTTTCCCCCCTTCTTTCATGCTTATACAAAGATTGAATGAATTTTCAGTGTTCTTGTATACTAGTTTCCTACTTGCTAATTGTTTCCAATAGCACTGCCATCAGATTCGCAAAGGGTGTGAGGAGAGATGGTGCAGTCTGGGGAACTGAGGCAAAGAAAAGCAAAGTGGCTTCCCTAACATCAGGCAGAATTATGTCACAAAGCTGAAATTTGAGATAATAAGAAACTCTTAGCTTTTTTTTTTTTTTTCCCTGAGTTTTTCTAGAGTGTCTGCAGTGCAGACTGTCATCTCTTGGTGTACGTTTGGTTTTTTTATACTCAGGTATTTTTTACTGAGCCCTGCCCTCTGCATCTTCCTCCCAGTCGCAGGCAGTTAGATATTGAAGCATATCCTAAAGTCACAGATGATCACAAACAAGTGAAAAATATGGAGGTGAGAGGACAGAGGCTGTTTTAGTTAAATCATTCAATTGATCACTGAGGAAATGCTAGTGTCTAGTTCATATACATGATACACCTATACTCATGGGAAAGGCATCTAGTCTAGTGGTCTACTTTCATCTAATGAGTGAAATAAACTGTACTGGGAATAATCATTTTACAAGTGCTCCTACTTTATGTTGCTGGATTGTTTCTTCCCTCTATACTAGGCAAAGTCCATTTGATGTGTAGGAATTATCTGACAGTAGGTGTTCAGTCATAGTAATAAATTTGCTGTGGCTGACCTGATGTCAAAAACAAGCAGGATTGAAGCTGAGTTTAAACAAAACTTGATTCACATATTGCTACCTCGAAAAATTACAAGATATTTTAAAAATATTGGTCTCCTGTTGGTGTAGGATTTTCTCTTTCATCCAGGTCAGATTTATGTCTGCAGCCATTTTCTCCAACAAATTTTCTTAGCTGGGCTAGCTCCACTTTGCTGTTGTTGTGGGGGCACCAGCACATGCTGCCAGCAGAAGGTTGGGGCTTGGCTGCAGGTGTTCATGTTCTTTCTCACACAGTGTGAGCTCCAGCTGAAACCTACCTGCTCTGCTGGGGAAGAGTGCTGGAAACCCTGCAGAAAAAAACACAGCTGTCTAATGTCCTGCCTAGATCAAATGTGCAAGAGTCAAATTTGTCACTTGGTCAGTTTATCAGGCTTGATTATAGCTGTCTTTGCTGTTTGTTGGAGATGAACAACAAGGCAGAAAAGCTGGGGTGATATATGACTATGGGAAAAGCTGCTGAGGAAATGCTGTCAGTGTGGAAGGAGCACCTATTTGTTCTTAGATGTCTGCACAGAGTATCTTGTAATGTTTTTATGCTTGAATGTACATCTGAGTATACAGTAGTGTGATCATCTGCATGACTTCTCTTTTTTTTCCTTTCTCACAGTGCATGCCAATTAAAGGCCTTGGATTTGTGCTTGGAGCCTACAAATGTATTTGCAAGGCTGGATTCTATCATCCCAACATCTTCTCAGTGAACAGCTTTCAGAGTAAGTGCCTTTGCTTGAGTTAAAAAAAAAAGAACACAGAGCTAGCATTAATAATGCAGGGCTGCTTTTTATCCTCGTCAGGGTTATACAGTAAAATCCCAGTGGTTGGCAAGTCTCAGATTATATAATCACTTAAGGAGTTCTAGCCCTTTGGTTTGTCATTCATGATACTCCTGAGGATCCTGTAAAACATACCCACTTGAAGAATATTTGATTTGTAAATAAATTAAAAAACATGAAAAGAAGCCTTGCTAAGGGGAAATAGAGATTTCTGGCATCTGTGCTCATGCACAAGTATTCTGGAAATTAATCTACTCATTTTCTGTTTAGCCAGAGGAAATTAGAATGCCCTAGCCTCTGGCTTTGTGCGGGCTTTAATTGTTTTCATTTTACTTCATTTGCAAAGGAGAATTCAAAGGAGCATCCAAACTAATACATGCTGATGATGTAATGGAGATGGTTCGAGCCTGAGAGTCTGTTTGGCTGGATGTATGGATAGCATACATCCTACACATACCCAGGACACACATTATATGATTCTTAGAATGAATTGCCCACAGCAGGAGAAACAGGACTTGGTTGATGCTAGGGAAAATAGACAAACTTCATGCCCAAAGCTGATGTCTGTTACTGTCATCGTGTGACCAAATCTCTGTATGGATTTTGTGCTGAAATTGTTGCAGCTGTACTGGTAGAGCTCAGGCTGCAGTCACAGCAAAGCTGCTCCTTGGAGGTGTAACAGGCATCCTTCTTTGCCTCCTGCTTTCAGGTTCATCTCATGCCCAGCTTCTTTGCACCATCCTTTAGCCAGAGGTTCATGTCATCAGCTCTTCTTGTGAGCTCAGTTTGTGTGAGATGTCCAGGCAGTGAGTGACTTTAACTGAGCTTGGTCCAGGACTGTGTGTATTATCTCCTGCCTTGTGTGAAAACAGCTGTTTCTGTTTCCCAGGAGAAATACCTCTAGTACTAATCATCATTCAATGTACATATATATATATATATCTGTGACGTAATGTCTCTTATGCATATTTGTAGAATAAATAGCACAGTTTGTTCAACAGTTGATCTGCTGAGTGTTTCCCTTGTCTTTTAATATGTTAAAGTGTTGCAGAAGGCAGCCTTGTGATAGTGCTGTTTCTCTGGCCTGTGTGAATCTGTTGCTAGAGTAAGGAGGATGTTTGGTTCTTCCTGAAGTGCACTGAGTTCTGGTGGAGTTAGGATTTAATTCCATGAGAGAGCATATAAAAAAGACTTCATACAAATGCCATAGAACATACACAAAAAATGTGGCTAGAGATCAAAACAATATTGATCATTAGGGATGAGATTAACTTTATTTCACATCAGTTGTGCAAAATATATATGCTTGGTATGTATTAGTCATCTAGGTTTCAACTGTTGTCAGCATCAAGAGCATGGCTCCCCTGGAGAGGAATTTGTCTTTAGATGGAAAGCACAATACCTCCATCTTTTATGCATCTGTTATAGATTGAAGAGCCTTAAAATGGCTGTTTAGCTCCTAATAAAGTGAAATTTGTCTAAAAGAAGTTTGTAAATGATGATATTGTAGGATGTAGGGGGCCAGTTTGATTTGAGCCTTTGTTGCTGTGAGGTAACCCGAGTTTTAAAACTGTAATGAAGAACTTTTTTAATTTATCCAGATGCAGCTCCATCTGCCAAGTTGTGTAGATGATTTAAAAAAGTGAACAGTGAGACTGGAAATGACTAAAATAATGAGAAAAGCCTATGGTTCAAAGGAAACTTGGCCCTGTCACACAGCTGCATTCTGTAAAAAGAAAAGAGGAAAAAATGACATGGCTAAAATGGCTGCAGTATGTATTTGGTGGTTCAAAATGATGTTAACATAGGAATTCTAGATATGAATTCTGCAAGCAATTTTGACAAAAACTGTATGACCTGGAGATCTCTTTGTGGAGCTAGGTGGGTGAAATCTGATGATGAAAGAGATGAAACTGAATAGAAATGTTAATAGTTTATGAAGTATTCCTAGTGGAAGAAAATAAAGAGGCAGCAAAGATTTGCAGGTCTCTAGATACTAGGAAGGAGATAGACAGAAAGAAGACCAGCTTTGTACTTTGCTCTATTGAAAAATTGGATTGTATTGTGTCTTGAAATGGGAGCATTTCTCAGTGATGCTGGAATTTTGCACCACAGCAAAATATGGATAACTGCACTTCCACATTGTGTCTGAAGTGTCTATCTTTTGAGTGGGGGAAAGGTTCTGCTTTTGGCCCAGATTAATGTTTTGGTTTGAGTCTGAATGATAACTGTATAATACAGTTTTGCAGGGATGTTGAACACTGCGCACAGTTTACTGGTTGGCTCTGTGGGAACCTGCAACGTGACATAAACAGTGTCTGTGTGGGAAAGATTCTGGAAATCAGTTGCTTTCTTCTCTTAAAGCAGCATGGTGTCGCTGCTCCCAGGAAGGCTGCACATGTTGCAGGTTCCCAAAGAGTGTGTGGGACAGGGGCACAGCTGGAATTCAGGCTAAGAAGCCAGGTAGGAGGGCATTTCCCTCCCAAGTCTGCATTCGTTCTTCAGAACTGACGGTGCCAAAATATGTAAAACCTTTCTATTTTTCTGCATGTGTTAATGAGGACTTTGGATACTAGAAGGGAACAAAATTATTACCATACTTCCAGGCTTCTTTTGAGGTTGGAAATGGATTTTAGGAAAAGCCACTTTCATGTACACAGGTTGTATTAACCTGTAAGTATTTGAGTACATGGTTATGCACTTTCTCCTAATGGCTCATTTTTAGGTAGCACTATTAGTATAGATAGAATAGACTAACTGATGATTACTTATATTTTAACATTCCTGTAACACCCTTCTCTAAAGCACTTCTGTTCTCTGCCTTATGGGGTAATCAGGTTTGCATTGAAAAGTCTAGCAGAGCAATGGTCCTTTGTTCAGCATTGAAGTTTGCCCTTTAGCAATACATCATCCATATACTGCAGAAATTCCCAGCTCTTGCTGTTTGGATGTGGAACCTACCCTGTTTGCAAAGAAAGTGGCTCTTTTGTCTGAATATGGGACTTTGCTGTCCCTAACACTGCCATGATCACATAAAAATTTCCAAGAAGAGTTTCAGTTCAACAGGAATTTTCATTTTTTGCACCTGCCCTTTGGCTTTGTTTCTTCAGCAGAGCCTGCACATGCAGATATTTGCACATATGAAGGTTGTCACTGACTTCAGTGACAGTGATCCCCTTCTGAGGTGAGGCTTATGACCATGGCTGATGACCAGGTTTTGGTGTCAAGAGGTCCACTTACCTTCTCACCAAATTACTGCAACATCACTGATGTGACTGGAGTGTTCCTAATTTACTCTATTATAGAACAGGAGCAGAATCAGTCTTTTGTTCTGCTCAGTGCTCAGCATGCACTGTGCTTTCTGTGTTCATGTGCTGAGTTCTGACTGGGGTGCAGGATGATTTGGTTTGGGACAAAGCAGTCCCTCCTGCCGTGGCTCTCAGCAGTCTGTGGTGCCATTCTCACTTTGCAGGAAGGTCTCAGCTGGCTATGTCACCGCTGCTGAGGCATGCCTTGCATGGAAAAGTGTCCTTAGGAGAACTGAAGCTGACGAAGAGTTACCCTCAGGAGAGCATTTCAAAAACAGATGGGCCAATCACACAGAAAATTAAGACTGGGATAGAAGAGAGAAGAGCTAGGAAAAAAATATGGTGGAGTGGAAATAGCTGAAATATTTAAGCTTTTTGTTTTATTTTATTATACTTCATTTTAGTTTGTGTCCCTATTCCTACTTTCCACTTACTTTGCTTGGTTCTTTTCTCCTTAATTTTTATCCATTTTATTTTTTGGTTACTACATTTTATTTCTGTTCTTCTTTTCTTTTTTTTTCACCTTCCTCATTTTCAGCTTTAACTTCTGCAGCACAGTGTTTGCTTCCCTCTCATTTGTGACAGTGCTGAAACTGCTACTGCTACACAAAGCAGAAATTACTTCTTGTCCATCTACCTTACTGTGTCTAGAATCTTTTGTCATCTTTTGTCATCTTTTGAGGAGGAAGAATTGTTTTTATTCACTGCAGGAAACATCTAATCCTAAAGAACTGCTGAGATAGGACAAGGCACAATGAAACGCCTAGCAGTTCTGTTAGAGGCACTCCAGGCTTGACTTGTGCTGTCTGTGTCTTGAATTGATGTTACATTGACATTGGTGAGGGGACAGGACCAGACAAAAAGGGCAGAAATGTTCAACTGTGCATTGGGCAGCTGTGCCCTGAGACATATAGTTATGGCAAGGGTGTGGGTGGACAAGATCCCTGTTGGTGGTACATATAATGAACAGTTCTTCCCCAAGAATTTATTTTAGAAGGGCTGAAAAAAGTTCTTCCTTTTTGTCAAGGAGAAAAAAAATTAAAAAACACAATCACATAGGAATTGTTAATTGTTCCTCATTGCATTATGGGAAATTTCATGTAGATCCAACATTTGATCTTTCTTTTACTAGCTATAAGGAGCAGTCACATGGAATCATGTAGGTTGGAAAAGACCTCTAAGATCACCAAGTCCAACCTGTGAGCAATCCCCACCTTGTTAACCAGACCAGAGCACTGAGTGCCACATCCAGTTGTTCCTCAGACACCTCCACCTCCATCTGATAGTCAAAAGATATTCACAGAAAAATCAGTCCTGGCTGGCAGTGCAGCCAGTGCAGAAGATGTGCATCAGTGATCTTCCTTTGTATGCAACACACCACACCACAGAAGCAATAGATTGGAAAGGACCTCTGAGATCATTGAGCCCACCAAACACTGCCCTAGACTAGAGCATGACACTGAGTGCCACATCCAGTCTTTCCTTAAACTCCTCCAGGGATGGTGACTCCACCACCTCCCTGTGCAGCCCATCCCAGTCTCTAAACATGACACCAGGCACAGCTAAACAAAAGCTTGCTGCTGTGTTATGAAGTAATATCCACGGGATATTCGCTTCAACATGCAACTGTTTATTTAACTGTTATCCCTGTAGTATGTGATGAGCATCCACATGAAGACACGCCCACATATGATTCTGATAAGAAACTGCTTGATAAAATGAAATGTAGTGTATTTGCAATGACTTTCAAGGTTCAGCATTCAGAAATAAAGTAAGTACATCAAGTTTAGAATCATGCAAAATTATCAAGCCATATTCATATAATATTTGTGACAAGTAGTCTCATAACTGTGAGTCTTGAACTATATTTTTTCTCTGTAAGTTTTTATAGTGCAAATAATTTATTTAGTTGACACAATAAAATATATTAACAAATGGCTTATGGGGCTAAGAAATGTGAAGTTTTAAAGAGATGGGCTAATTGAAGGGCAACTCTAGAAATTATAAAGGAAGAGATATGTAGTGGAAAAGGTGACATGAGCTTAAATGTTGAGGAAATGAAGTGGAAAACTTGGACAGTAGGAAATGCCCTCTTGGTTTGGATATGGAGATGGGAGGTGGGAGATTGTGACTTCTGTCTGGCAGAGGACAGTGTGGGTCTGTTGCTCTAGCAGTAATTAATAAAGGAGGGATCTGCTGTTAGATTTGAAGAAGGTGGTTTTTGCTAAAGCTCTTAGAATGATAATGGGCTGAGGTCCATGGGTGTGTGCTCTGAAGAGAAGTTCCAGTTCTAGAATATCTTCAACATTAGTGTTCCTTAGCGGTTCTCCATCTGCTTGGAATTCCCATGCATGGTTGTTTTCCAAGATTTCCAATCCTGCCTCACACAGTCGGGGTCAAAAAAGCACAAGATCTCTTCTTGCTGACTCCTTGTATCTAAAAATCTGACTTACAACATGAGTCAGCACTACTCTGCTATATTCAGGTTTCTGACATCTTAGTTCAGAATAGAACTCCAAAGAGAAATTCACGAACTGCATGAGAAATACCATCCTGTTCTCTGTTCACCCTGGGATGTAGGAGTGAAGCATCCTACACTGAGGACAAGGAGTGTGGCCTCTGTCCCTTTCCCAGGCTTTGCCTGGCAGCAGATGTGTGCTCATGCACATTTGGGCACAGATTTGAGAAAGCAAGAAGTAATTACCCTTGTAGAAAACCTTCTGCTTCAATTGCTTCAAGCTAAAAGTCTGAAGAGTTGCATAAACCCATGTGTATGTGCAGCATAGGTGGAATAGGTTGTCTCTTGAAGGACTCAGCAATGCATGATTTGCTACTTTCCCTGACAGAGAAGGAGAATTTTGATCAAAGAAATTGAAGCAGTTCTCTAGAATTGTGAAAAGTGAGAGGAGTTATCACACATTATAACACACCCATTAATTTGGCTTTGTTGTTTCTGTGAGCTCCTAAGCCTGTCTTGCCTATAACAAACATTTTCAACAAATTCTTTTTTTCATTTTATTTAATAATATTTTCCCCCCTTTCTCTTTCACCTTTTAATTCTATTCATGACCTGTAGGGTGGGCAGTATTACAGGAGTTTATAGGCAAGTTTCATAGATCAGAAAAATTAGGAATCCTTCTGTGTGTGCTCTTGATAGGTTCACATTGATGGATAAGAGATCAGTTCAAGAGTCATTGATTTCCTAGACAAAATAGGTGTGTCTACCTCCTGGTGTGCTTGTGTGAACAAGGGAATACTGTACTTAGTCTAAGTGCACTGGTTTTGCTTTGGGGACAGAGTAGTGCAATCATGCAACAGCCTGTTGAACAAGTGCTAATTAAGAAGGTTTTCATCTAATTTGAAGCTCATTAATTCACTAGATAGCATTTTTATAAAATTGAGGAACAATCTGAAATGGGATCAGAGCTTGTACTAAGAGTATTAGGTAGTTAATGGGTCTGCCCTTCATTTGTCTGTGTAAAATCCATTCTTTATTCCCAAATATTTCATGTAATTTTTTCCCCATTCAAAAATCTTCATAGAATTTCCTGTGCTGATTTAGCCCACTTGAAATATAACAGGAAAGCATTTGATGTTTAATAAGCTCACTTTCCCTCATTGGTCTGCATTTTCTGAATGTTACAAAGGATGGTTCAGTGGGAAAAGCAGCACTGGGCAAGCTATTTTGTAACCTATTGAGAAACAATGGGAGGGAAAGGAAGCCCAGCAGAGGACTGGTGATGAACTCCCCATCCCTACAACTGAAGGTGTCTCCCCTCTCTCTTCTTACTTTCAGGAAAGGATGCAGAAAATCGCTTTTCAGGTGGTGAATTGTCAGAGGAAGTCTACACCTGCCTGCCCTGCAGAGAAGGATGTTCTTTCTGCACAGATGACACTCCCTGCTATGCACAGGAGGACAAGTATTTACGGCTGGCTATCATCTCCTTCCAGACGCTCTGCATGCTGCTGGATTTCATCAGCATGCTGGTGGTCTACCATTTCCGCAAGGCGAAGGTAAACCCGCGTCTCTTACTCGCGTGTTCCTCCTCGCTCCTGGTACGCGCTCGTGTATCCCGCTTCTACAGCTTCCCATTTTGAGGGTCAGTTTCTCAGGCAAGGAGTGCAGCTCAGGGGGAGGATGGGATTTCCAAACAGGAATGTTTTCCTGAATTGTTTATGTGGTTTTGGTGAAGGAAAAAAAAAACAAACCAAAAACGAAAAAAAATGAGCACTTTGTGTCTTCCAATGAAATATTATTGCATTAATAGGTATTCAGCAAAAATAAAGAAAACTGTTAAGTAATTTTGGAAAGTCAAGCCAATTAATTATGCACATATCTAAAGGGACATGGGGTTTTTAGAAACTTGGGATCTTGAAAGTCTCTGCATTACCACTACTGGGAATGATGTTTGGTTTCAATATGTTTGAGAGACTAGATGGAAAATAATTACAACAAAGAGAAATCTTTCTGAATAATTCTAGTTCCTAGAGAGTTTGAATGTGATTCTATGGTTAAAGTACATTATTTTTTTCACTAAAGCAAAAGTATACTAAGGAGTATCTGTAAATTGCTGATGCAGCATTTATGTACTAAGCTAATGAACTTCCTGCTTTTACCTCACTGAAAATTGGGTAACATCTCTTGGAATCTCACTGTTGCCTCAGTAAATGCAGAATATTCTCTGAAACTCCAAATTTACTAAAAAGAAATTAACTGAAGATGACATATATTCACTACCTACATTTGGGAAACGTAGGTGTGCACACAGTATGCTACATTATTGAAATTAATAGCTTCATCCACTTTCTATAACTAGATAAGTATTTCCATTTTGGTTTTTGGAACACTTGATCCCACAGTCTTCCTGATCCTACAGTGTTGTGTTACAAATGCGTGGCTCATTTTGAAAGATTTTAATATCCTGCCAGGAAATCACAGAACGAGCAATAACATTCCTTTTTTTTATCTCTTCTGTTTCTGACAGTGTCTTTTTATTTAATGATATTATATTAAATGATTCAAATTACAGACTTAATTGTATTCATAAAGTTTTTTGTTATGAAAAGTTTGTTGTAGGCATCTGTTTAGTTGCTTGACATTAACTTAGCAGAAGAACTTAATTCTGATTTTGTGAGATTTTAATCTGGTAATATTACTCACTTTTAATGTCAAAAACAACATCATGACAAGCATTTCTTGTGAGTGAAAACTATTTCTGGACTTGGAAAGTGATATGCAGCTATTGCAAGCTGGGTTTGACTTCTTTTTTGCACACCACAATATTGATTATTTTATAGGAAATATTTATATTTTCTTGCATATGTTCTGATATAGATATCTGCTAGAGTAAAAAGATATATCTTTATTAGATATAACACAGAAATCTTGTGTTTCATAAAACCTGCTAGTGATGAAAAGCACATTTTTACATTTGTGATGATTAGTCAGTTCTCCAAAGTAGTCTGTGACTAAAGTCACACATGGAATCTGAATCTTTAATACCAAAGCAATACTAAAGCAGCATATACACATCTTTTGTTGTCTCTGAAGTGCTTTTCAGTCATTAGGAAAAAGTTTGTGCTTATTTTTTTCCAGGTTCCCTCTTACCATTGGTAATCATGACATATAAATGAGTGAGAATCAGTCATAAAACAAAACATTCTTTTTCCCTGAAAGAAAGTTATGCCTTGGAGACATTGCTGTTCATTCAGTTGACCAGAGATGGATTAAATTAGTTTTGGTACCTTACAGGAAAATTGACTTTTCTCTAAATGTGTATCTCACAAGGAAAAGGGAAGGAAACTTGAGACAAAAGAGATAATATGGTGATTAACAAACCTTTCCATTATGATTGATGTTATCAAGGAATAGAAGCAGATAGATTTTTCATTGCTTTTTATGTCATTCAGTTGAGTTTTTCTTGGATATTCCTTTAGTGGTTTTTATCTGATTGGTACAGCATGAAAAAGATCTTGTGTGTTTACCATAAAATGAGAAGTTGTATGAATGGCAAACATACTGAGAACAATGAATATTTGCATAAGAAAACTGCTGGTTACATTGGGAAATTACAGAAATTTGGAGTGAAGGAAGAAAACTAGTAGCTTACTATGTACTCTGCCAGGGAGGTAAAATCATAAAAATGAAAGAACACATATTGAAGTATATTCAAAATATCTGCCCTTTTGAGAATTTCCAACTGTTAGTGAAGCAAACTACAATTAGGTTAGTATATATGTCTGTGATTAAAGTTGCTGTGTTAAACTGCTCATTTCCATTGTGCTGTGTGGGAGTCAGAGAAGAGCATTTCTTTCAGTTCCCTCCCACTTGTAGCACTACAATATTCAAATGGTTTCAAAAATAGTTTTTAATGCAATGTTTTAACAGAAAGAACAGCATACTGCTGCTATATCAAGAAGCAAATTTCAAAGTGTTTAAGGGAGCAAAAGATGGAAAATAAAAGATGTTAAATGAAGGCCCTTTCAGTGCTGAAAGGAATGAAGAGTAGATATATGACATTTTGATCTGTCTGTTGATCAGTAAAATCAGAAGGTAAATGGGATCAGGTTACCTCTTTAGTAGAAGTGACTGCAGAAAGCTTCTCAATGCTAGTACTTCATGGGGGCTCCTGGTAATTACTACCTTCAAAAAACTAAGGTTCTGAAAAGTCAAAGGTCTGCCAACAGAAAACACTTAGGAAGAAACACCCCAGGCACCTTGGCAGTGATATATAATAATTCACAAAAAGGTCCCTAAGCATCCTTCAGCTTATGATGGAAGTGACAAGACATTTTTTTGTCTTAAAAAAGATCAATGTATCAGTAAGAGCAGATAGAGACCATGAGTATTTCAGGGAAGTGAAGAAGTACTTCAGCTATTCAGATCACACTGGCTGAACTTTTTATGACCAAGCAGTACTTAGAGTGGAGAATTGCCATTAGCCTAGTTTTGTCAACAGTGTGGAATATATGTGAGATCCAAGGCAGGTGCTGAAAGGCCAACCACGGGTGAAAGATGGAGCCCTGCACTGCCACAGAGCATGGCCATGAGAACAGAGACCTTTTTTGACAATTATTGCCAAAGTGTCACTGACAAAATGTGATGATACAACTTTCATTTTGACATGATCATTATTACTCACCTAGGCCCATAATAATAAGACTGTACAGAGAACCTGGTAAATACCAGCTCGTGAGTTCCCACTCAGATCTTGACAAAATGAATGGTAATAAATAGGCAAAGCCTATAGCAAGCAAGAAGACTGGCTTTTAAAAGCCAGGCTTCTCTTTGGAGGGACTTCTACAGGTCTCTGAAGTTTTAAGTCTCATCTTCTAGAACGTCTTAAGGTTCCTCTGAAGAATCCTCTTCAGACTTCTATCTAGAAAACTGCCAAACTATTTATTGTGTAATAAGTTTACATTCATAGCAGTAGAGGAGTAATGGAAGATAGGAAATGTGACATCTGTATTTATAAAGACTCCTTATAATAGTGACAACAACTAAAGATCAGTAGGTCCAACTTTAACACTTGGAAATTCAGAGTAATGGTGATAAATAACAAAACTCCTGGGTCCACGGGCAAATGTGGGGAGTAGGCTTTTGTGAGAATATGGTGCCTTACAAATGTATTGGTAGCTCTGTGAAGGGGGATTATGAGCATGTGAATATGAGAGTACTTCTTCCAAGGTCTGCCTTGGAAGCTCTTAAAATTTGGGTTTCAAGGGACTAGGTGAGCTGCACTATTTGCAGGTAACCAAGGGGTGGCAGAGGAAAAGACAGGGCAGGAAATATGGTATAAAATCATGTACAGTAGCGAGATGTTGATGTGCAAACATAGATATGTATTAATGGTTCCTCTCAGGGTATCACTAGAGGGATTAAGGAACAAGGGATCTCTCAAATGTTCAAGGAATCTCTCAAATGTTTTTTTTTAAAAAGAAGTAGTTGCATTACAAAACTTTTAGTTACTTTATGTCACTCACTGGCAAATAATATCACAGATCCCAAAGTATAAAGCAATTCAGACAAGAAGGAATCATGGATGATATTTTTCTCTATCTATTTCTATTTATGTTTCTATATTTCTAGAGTGTTTAAACACAGTGGTTTTGGTAAAATATCTGGAGCTTCAAGGCCATATTTTTATTGTAGGAAACTTGGAGGATAGATCAGGAAGGATCACTGTCTGCTTCTTTAATAATGCAGCACAGGCTGTGAAGTGAGGTAGGACACTGGAGTCTAAACCAGAATATCTTTTGTTCTCTTGGGAAAGCATCATTAAGTTAGATTTCATGTGTCTTCTTGAAAACCTTGTAGTTACTCATGTGGACTTACACATTTGATAGGTGACAGAACAAAATTCAGCTTGTTCATCCAAAACACAGTTGGTCCAAACTACTGTTACCACTGACCAATCTGACCATTGCCAACCTGTAAATGTAAGTGCACAGCAGCGACTTCAAGGAATTGTTGAAATTGGCCAAAAGACCAGAATGGAATGGCAAAAAGATACTGTGACAAAGCTCTGATCAGTGCTGTGGAATTCATTTTGAGGCTTTGTCAAATACAGGTGAAAGTGACTCAGCAGCCCTGAGATCAGCTCAGCAGTAATGTTATTTAACTGCAAGAGTCATAACTGGAGAAAGTCACAGGCAGAAAAGGTGGCCCATTGCCAAGAGAAGGAAGAACTCCAAAACGATAAGAACAAAAAAAAATCTGGAAGAAGGCGCAGAAGGAGTAGCAGAAGCTAAACCACTAGTGAAAAGCTTTGTAGGGAAACACAGAAAAAGATGAAAAATATAATAGATAAAGAGGAGATGCTACTGCTATAATGGGAAAAGGCAAAGCATTTCAGTAGGAGAGTAAATGGGGGAAATGTGCCTAACAATGAGAAAAGAGGAAAAATTATTTGTAGCTAATACAGAAGGGAAATCAGATGTGTGGATCACTTCAAAGAAATCTTTCCTGTGGGCAGCCCTTGTGCCAATCAGTAGTGAAAGCTGGAAGCCGTGAA